TTTATTTATTTGACAGAGAGAGACACAGCGAGAGAGGGAACACAAGCAGGGGGAGTGGGAGAGGGAGAAGCAGGCCTCCCGCTGAGCAGAGAGCCCGATACGGGGCTTGATCCCAGGACCCCGGGACCATGACCTGAGCCGAAGGCAGACGCTTAACGACTGAGCCACCCAGGCGCCCCAAATTTGATTTAGAATTTTGCTAATGGAATGCTTAGTTCTCATTTCTAATGTATTCAGCTCAAATTTTTATTAGAAGTTTGTAAAAGTAAATCACTTTTTAAACAACCTGCTTTAAAAAGGGGAAAGGGATAAATGATTATATTTAAAGTAGTTTATGCTATTAAATTGTGAAAAATATTAGGAAATCTTTTTAAATAATTGATATGTAAATTTATATTCTTTATTAACGATAAAGACTTCTTATCAGTGGTATTGATACTGTATAGATTAAATCCCATCATCATAAATTCCAAGAGACTATACAGATTTTAAAATTTGAGCAGTCATGGAGCTTGGCAACTTTTTTTGTAAGAAAATTATTATACATGAGCATTTATGCAACTACTCACCATATGTGAACCCAACTACAGGCATAAATGGGGAACCAGGAAATACTGATATTGGCAAGATCAGCACTTCCTGGTACTGAATCTTCATAATAATGACTTAGATGTTCAATATCTGCTCTCCAGTGTTAGACCCTCTGTATCATATGTCCTCTGCACTGTATAGAGGAATAGATTAGTTACTGAGTGCTGTATACTGAAGGCTAAAGACCATAATGTTAAGCGTTGCAATTTTATGAGTCATCATTATTCCATGATTTTTGGTACATTGGAATTTGTTGAAATAGGATTTGACCTGTATTCAACTTGTATGCCCTGAACTGGTAGTACATAGCAAACATTCATGCTTTATGAAATAAACATGCTAAACATGTAATTTTTCAGAAGCAATGTACATTTTCATAGTAGCGAACTGAACATGAACCTATAAAGCCAACTGTGGAGAAAACAAGACCTGAATATAAAACATAGACTGAACTTATATGAAGTGATGGTGAGAAAATTCAGATACTTCTAGTGAAGCATAACCAAGAAATAATCTATTTCTGAATCATGAAGAATTAAAATTTATAAAGAGTATTATGACATTAGTAGTTGAAAAATTGGGAATTTTCATTCCCTGAAAGTCTTAAAAATTGGGGAAATTTATTTTTTTAAAGATTTTATCTATTGGGGCGCCTGGGTGGCTTAGTCGTTAAGCGTCTGCCTTCGGCTCAGGTCATGGTCCCAGGGTCCTGGGATCGAGCCCCGCATCGGGCTCCCTGCT